CATTACATGATGATCATGAACAGGAAGAGGTGTCACATGCTGATTGCCATGGCCTGGGGAATTGGTTTTTGGCATTCTATTGCTTTGTTGCTCATAGTCCTCAATTTGCCTTTCTGTGGTCCTAATGTGATTGACCACTACATGTGTGATGTGAAACCACTTTTGAAACTGGTTTGCAAAGATATCCATGTTGTTAGTATCTTAGTGATTGCTAATTCTGGGACAGTAGTAGTTGCCATATTCACTGTACTCTTAGCTTCTTATGTCCTCATTTTATATAACCTCAGGACAAGATCCTCTGCAGGACGTCGCAAAGCTCTCTCCACCTGTACCTCTCACATAATGGTTGTGGTTCTATTTTTTGTGCCCTGTATTTACATCTATATCCTACCTGCAGGAGGTAAAAATAAGGATAAGGAAATCTCTGTGTTTTACACTGTGATTGGCCCCATGCTAAATCCTCTTATCTATACTCTGAGAAATAAGGAGATGAAAATTGCGATGGGGAAGGTCTGGTGGCGGATGTCAAATTCAAGATGAAAATAAAGGAATAAAATTTATTATACTCTCAGCCTGTGTTTCTAGGATATAGAGATACCACTAAAAGAAACATAGGGTACTCTTTCTGGATTTTGACTCATGTTAGGGGCTTATGTCCCATGTAGTAAGTCTGAAGCAAAACCTCATAATAAGAATTGAAAACTGATTGTAACATGGCATAGATAATCCAGATATAAATAGGTCAATTTGAAGAGTGCAAGAAACTTCCTTGTAGAGCACATTTACTGCTTGGACTTCTCCCTTTAAGTTACAAAGCATGGTTATGATGTAGATGACATGGTTTCTATCACCAATGCCAAAATGGAAAACAAACTAACATGACAAATAAGGCACATCTTCCATCCTCCAAATTCTCCCTTCTAGCAAATCATATGCAACTCAGTTTTTGAGCAATAAACATCCATCCTTCTCACTTGTGAGTCAGAAATATCTGCCAAGCATCGGTTCAGGTCTGATTTCCTGGTTCCAGAACTCATGACTCTGCTGAATGTGTTTTGTAATATTAAATGGTTTTGGGGTGCTGGGGATCAGGACATCTGATGACTCAGGTTTTAATCTCTAAATTGTGTAAGTTTGTCCTAATGCTGAGTTTCAGTTGTATAGTACTGGTGTAATGAGGTATTTCTGAGTTGTTATCTTTTTTCTTTCTCTCTTTTTGCTTTATGAGACAAGATCTTGTTATTACACAACTGAGGGCCACCCTGCCTCTTTCTAGAATGCTGGTATGACAGGTGACTACTGTTATGCCTGGTTAGGTATTAATTGAAAAGATTTTACCGAGAATCCTAGGAAAAAGTGGAAGCTAATGTATGGAACTTTTCCTCCCTGTGATCTCTGCGAGGTCATTCTCTAAAGTTTGTGCTGTTTCTCCTACATAGGACACCCCTGCTTCTATGCTATATAATACACAAGTCCATGAAACAGTCGGTTCATCACCAAACCAATCCTTTCTTCTTCTTATATTGAAATTTCTCTGTGAAATTAGTAACACACCTACAATAATTATTGTACCTTATATTCTGAAAGTTGACTGAGCCAGAAAATTATATGGTCTATTTCTGCTTTTCTTTATATTTTTTTTTCTCCTAGTAATGTTTGTGCTACAAATTAATTAGTAAATAAATCAGTCTGGAAATACACTGAAAGTTAATATTTTATTTGACGCAATGTACAATTTTTAAATGTTTACAGTATCTATTAATTTATTTTTTGTCGGTCATGGGGCTTGAACTCTGGGCTCGGTCGCTGTGCCTATGCTCTTCAGCTCAAGGCGAGCATTCTACCACTTGAGCCACAGTGCTATTTCCCATTTTGTAGTGGTTTTTATTGGAGATAAGAGTTGCAATATCTAGTATGTCTGAGTCAGGCAGAAAAGGTCAGATAAGTTGATGTTAGGGAAATGAACCCTAATATATGTATTCAAATGTTTTTTTTCTTTCATGTGATTGTTTCTAACACATTTATAAGATTATTTCTTTGTTGCTTTGTATGTCCCTCTCCCACAGTGTAACCTCTGCTTTCACTGTATTTGATGTCAGTATAATTTGTGGAAGGGAGGGGAAAAAAACAAAGCGTTTAAATAGGGATACACCTGGACCCATTGCAATAATGAGAAGTACAAGTCCTTACATCGAAAACGAACTTTACAACTTTGGTGGGGGCGGGGAGGAGGATTAGGTGGGGGGTAGGGGGAGAATGGGAAGGGATGGGAAGGGGAAACAAAGGATGAGGCTATAATGCTGGATAAGAAATGTACTCATTATCTTGCCCATGTAATTGTAACCCCTCTGTACAGTATTTTCACAATAAAAATAAGAAAGAAAAAAAAAGAAAAAGAAAAAAGAGTCTCACAGACTTTCCTGCCAAGGTTGGCTTTGAACTGTGATCCTCAGATATCAGCTGCTTGAGTAGCTAGGATTACAGGCATGAGCCACAAGCACCTGGCTATCTCCTTATTTTCTTGGTGATCATATATTAATACTACTGTAATACTCCCCTAATGTGTCTGCAGATAAAGAAGGAATTAAACCTATACTTAGCCACCAAAAATATTTTAAAGCATATAGGGTTAAAAATTGGACAAAGATTCAGAAATACAAATTTGACATGTTTTGTGCCAAAATCCCTTCTGTACATGTATGAAAATATAATGAAGCCCACAGTTATGTGAAACATAGAGATAACTAAATAAATCTATACCATGAGCATGTAGAGACATGTACATTTCCTACTCTAAACTAAGGACTATAGTTTATAACTTCCTCTCTTTGCATCCTACTACCCTTTCCTATTTTTCTTATTGAAAAGAAAAGGTTTGAAAAAACAAAACAGAAACAAACAAAAGAATGGAAAGAAAAAGAATGTTTGTTGTGGCATTTCCCAGTTTTCAGCCATTAACACCATTTACTAACTCTTCATGCAAATGGTGTGTATGGGTTGTAAATTTCTGATACTCATATTTAAATAAGAGGAAGGGATTGGAAAGGTGGCTCAGTGGAAGAGTGCTTGCCTTGCATGAATGAGGCCCTGGGTTCAATTCCTCAGTACCACATACATAGAAAAAGCCAAAAGTAACATTGTGGCTCAAGTGGTAGAGTGCTAGCCTTCAGCTGAAGAGCTGAGGGACAGCGCTCAGGCCCAGAGTTCAAGTCCCACAACCAAAAAAAAAAAAATAAAGTGGAAATATTTTTAATCTTCTATGATAATTTTAATAATTTTGGTGATGAGTGTCAATGAATATAAGATTGATCCATGCTATTAACATACTGGTACAATCAATGATAAATAATTCCACATTTTAACGTTCCATAATCATTAAAAAATTCAGTGTTAAGGAAATTTTCCTATAAGAGGAAATTCATTGACTTCATCAATGCTGCATCAGTACAAAAATCTTGTACCACTTGTATTGCATCCCAAAGTAATGAATGAAAGGGGTCCTTAAAACCACCTCTACAGTCACTTTATTAGTATTGACTTTACTTTCACAATTATAAATACATATGCATTTGTTGCAAATGTATGCCTAGGGGAGTTTATCCCCTGTGTCTCCTTATGTCCTTTAGTCCATAAAAGCTTCTCTGTTTTGAAGGTTCATGGGAGAGACTGGGTGTTTCCACAAGGATTTACTTTTTCATTATAAATAGCAGAGAAGAAAGAGGAGTCAGCATGGAGGACCAACTTAACATTTCAAAAATATTGTAAATCTCAGCAGAAATAATAATTCATACTAGCAGATATTCTTTTCCAAAATTAAGGTAGAATATTTGATGTTTACATTGACTAATAATCTATAAATGGAGAAGTTCTATAATATGTCTGCTTGTGTTTCTTTTTAAGGGTAAGATATTCAGGGGAAACTGAATGATAATTTGAAAGTCTATCAATATTCCTCTGACAGTTTTAATGCATTCTTCAATTTCTTCTTTTGTGGCAGAACACAAAATTCTTAACAACTGACATCTTCCATGGGTGACAATGTTAGTGTTTATTAGTGAGTTTGTTCTTGTCCAAACCATTTAAGCCAAGGAAAGGTCTGTGCTGTGAATTTACAAGATTTTTTTTTCCTGAAGCATAATTTACATGAAGTCATTTTGCTTTGGTTGAATAAAGTGAGGAGATTAGCAATATTACACTATTGACCAGATGAAGAATCTCAGAGAATGAATTGTTTACTCTAGAAACAAAGAGATTCACAGAGCCTCTGAGGTGGATGGATACTATTGTAGGGATGCAAATTTATTGAAATCAGTACATACTGGTGATAGAAGACGATTTCAACACAATCCCACTTTGCTACCATATCCAGAGGGTCAGAGTATCTGTAGTGCTCTGATGGTGGGATCAAAGAGCAGACAGTGGTGTAAGGATCTTATTACATTCTTTAATATGTCATGGAAAATGAGCACACTTACAAAGTGTTTCTTCTATGCTAGGAGATATCTTTAAATGTATGTCTAGTATTTTTAGGAATAAGTGAAGTTTTTCTATAATATTATTAAGAACTATATTTCTGTATTTAGATGTGAAACATTGCTGCCTCAATCTATTATTTTCCCTGTATTTTCAGAGACTGTATTGTGACTTTGAAGAAACAAGCTATGGGAAAGCATCAGAACTGTCTTTAAAAGATCATTTTCTGTACTCATGAAGATAACTTCCAATTAAACTGTACATATTAATCATATCATACATGAAACATCAGCAGTGAGACTGGGATATTACTGATACATTATATGTAATACAGAAATAAAATTCAATAATCTTCAGTAGTGTGGAAATTAGAGACTGTGCAATAGAAAATAATCTTGATTAACTTCTTAGGGATATAATATTTATAAAAGTGTTGGGCATAAAAGATGCTTTAATTGCATAATATATCATTAGCAGTGCAGTGATATGTTTCAAAGAAGTTTAAAGAGAAGCCAAGTGGATGGAAAGTGTTGGTATAGTTGTACAGTGTTTGCACAATAAGACCCTGTTACTGAGTTTAAGCCTCAGAACAGCCTAAATAAACAGAATCATATATATATATATAAAATAAGGTGAATCATATCATAAATTTGCTATGACTATGTTTAAGCCAAAGTATAGCTAACAACAAAATTTAGAGAACACTTTCAAAGATGTATTATACTCTAGATGATTCGATAAATTAAATTTCTTCTGTGGATTGTAGAACTCATCTTGACTTCATGGAAAAACAGAATGTCACAGAGTTTGTTTTCACAGGACTGTTTGAAAGTAAGAAAACAGAACTACTGCTCTTTTTCTTGTTCCTACTTTGCTATGTGGCAGTGTTAATGGGAAACAGCATCATCTTACTCACGATCTGCTGCAGCCATCTCCTGGAACAGCCAATGTACTACTTCCTCTGCCACCTGTCCCTCATGGACCTCTGCTCTACTTCCATTGTAGTTCCCCAGCTAACCAGAAACTTGGCTGCCACAAGAAGAGACATTTCCTTCAACAACTGCATG